AAAAAAAAAAAAAAAGAAAAAGAAAAAAATGAAATCGGCCTAACTTTTAAGAATTAATTTAAGGGCTGGGGAGATAGCTCAGTAGAATAAGCACTTGCCTGGCAAGTGCAGGGTCCTGAGTTCAATCCCCGGTACCGCAAAAAAAAAAAAGAAGAGAAAGAAAAAAAATTTAATCAAAGAGTAGTCAGGATGGCAGCGCAATCTAAGAATTAGTTTAACTCAGGAGTATCAACTTGACAAGAAATCAATATTATAGATAAAAAGATATCATGAAAATCAATTTCTGAAAGATCAATAAAAGCTGAGTATGATGGTGCTGAGTTTCAGCACTCAGAAAGGCTGAGTCAGGAAAATCAAAAATAGAGACTTGGCAAAATGCTATTTTTTAAATAAATTTTTTTTTAAAAGGCTGGGAATATAGTTCAGTACAAAGGTCCTGGGTCCAGAACTCAGTACTAAGTAAGTAAACAAATAAATAAAATTCATAAGATATCTCAAAGGGCTAATTAACACCAAAATCAAAGTTTGTTCCCCTATACTACTAACCAAAGAAATATTCATTGAAATTTATTTCCTTTATCTAATTTGCTCTTTACAACAACAAATGGGGCCAGGCATGGTGGCACACACTTGCAATCCCAGCATGAAAGGCTGAGGCTGAGATAGGTAAATTGTTGAGAGTTGGGAGACCAGCCTAGGCTACAAAGTGAGTTCAAGGCCAACCTCAACTATAGAGCGTGACAATGCCTCAAAAAGACAATCAATCAATCAAACAGTAAATAATGTTTCTCTCCTTTGATTGAAACAAGCATTTTAAAATGTGATACTAACCTTTTGTAAAATACAAGACTAACAGGATGAAGTAAGTTTATAATGCATATTTCTATCATATTATAAATACATAGAAAAAGTTACAAAAGGAAATATCCAAAAATGGTATAGCAGTTATCCTTGGAAAGTTTAATTATAAATATCTTTGCTTCTGTACTTTTTAAGCTTCCAAACTTCATACAAAGCTTTATACTTACAATCAGAATGTTTTCCAAGTAAGTCATAATTTATATTTTAAAGCATCTAATGCTCTACTAGGAATTCAGAGCTTGTAATACAGTAAAATGGAAAAGGTTCTCGATAAATGCTTGAAAATGCTATCACATCGACACTGCCATTAAACAGAAGGAGGCAGATGAGTGTATGTTAGAATAATCTCCAAACTTTATCATAAACAAGGCACAGGAGGGTATACAAAAGTGTTTGTATGAGTGTATGAATGAGTGTATGAATTAAACATACACTCATTCATATATTTAATATGAGCAATTCATTCATAATACACAAATAAAATGGTAATGCTTTTACCATTAGGAAAAGGGCCTACAACCAGGACAAGTGACAAAGTTATTTTTACAATAATCCCCTTTATCCAATTCCACCTCCCTCAGTTTTAGTTACAATCAAGCACAGAGCAAAAGTATTAAATGGAAAACTCCAGAAATCAGTAAGTTTTAATCCCACCTGGCATGTGAGTCATCCCTCTGTCCAACACACTGCCCACTTAGTGGCCATCTAATTTTCGGACTGTTGTGGCACTGCACTGCTTATGTTGAGACTTTTACTTTTTGGTTCCAGGGAATGAACTCAGGAACTTGTGTTTGCCAGGCAGGCACTTAGGCAACTGAGCTACCTCCCTGGCCCTATGTTCAAATAACCTTTATTTTCCTTGATAATGGCCTTAAAGCACAAGAGTAGTGGCACTACTATTTTGAATATGCTAGAGAAGTCACAAACTGCTTCCTTTAAATGAAAATTGTGTATGGATTTTTAAAAAATGATGTGTAGGATTTAATACTATCCCCACTGGGGATCTAAGGAAGACTACTTTACAATATGTCTTCTTGCTCAGGTTTGATTAA